GATCGCTTTATATTCCCCATACAATTATTGCAGGGCCGATAAGTGACTTATAGCAAAATACAAATTATATTTTAATATTCTAAAAAATTGGATTGGTCATATCTTACGCGGTAACTGCCTTCTAAAAGAAGTTATTGAAGGAAAGATAGAGGGGCGGATAGAAGTGACAAGAAGACGAGGAAGAAGACGTAAGAAGATGCTGGATGACCTTGGGGACAGAAGAGGATATTTTCGTTTGAATGAGAAAGCTCTAGATCGCATCAAGTGGAGGAATTGTTTTGGAAGAGACTGTGGACTTGTCGTCTTGACAGATTACTGATGAATGAATGAATAAATTCTAAAATCTCAATTTATTATTTTCGCCTACAAGCATCAACAGTCCCTTACAATCATATTCACTGCTCCAAGTAATTATTTCTTCCAAAAAAGATCCCTATAAATCTAAAACATCTTTTAAAACTAATGCCTCAAATCTTTCAAGATTATTATTATAGTCTAAAAGAGCAACAAAAACTGTTAAGATATCTATTATAAGATTAATTTAACAATGCACCGATTAGGGTATAAATGAACCTTGAAAATATCATAAATGTTTTAGAAAGATGGTACTTTGCAAATTTGTGCCCCTGGTACTGCAGTGGGGAAGAGGAATTAAAAATACGTGTATTCTGTTCACACATGAGTTTTCCACGAACAAAATTTCAAGCATCCAGGCTCGAAAGAGATTTAATGAAATTATGCAACACGGGCATACACAATCGTGACACTGAAACTTGAACTTGCAGTCTGCTCTCGGAGCTATATTAAGAGACAGTATAACGCGTGACGTCACTATCACCTCTGAGTGTGCAGAATCGTTGCGATTTATATGAAATGCCTGCACAGAAACTGTACAAGAATCGACGTAGAGAATATAAGTGCACCTAATTACCAGCCTCTCTAATAACGTACACGGACTGCAGCAAAGAAATCGGTGCGCCTGCAAGAAATGAAAACAAAACTCTTTCAATAACAGAGCAGTTTTCGCGTCAATGCGTCAACTGGCGTTCTGGGAACAACCAATCGCCTACTTTCCTTCCACATGACAAGAACACCACAGAAAATCTTCGTTGCCGCAGGAACATCTTCACAGAGATTTTCCCTTACAACGATAGGACCCACAAATACACGCGTCCAACAATTCTTCTACTGTTGCGTGTATCCGTTGCAGCGAAAACATGTTTACCGAGCCGTTGCCTAGCAATGAAAAGGACATACTTTACCGATCCTTTGCATAACAACGACAGAAAGGATACACATACGGACACGCAGAGTGTAGGGAGGAATTTATGAAGTACGCCGCTGAAATGGCTTAAGGTGCAATGGCATACATACCAAATTTCATACAGACTGGTTTAGGGACTGAAAATTTAATTGGGGGGGGGGGAATCACAGACATATAGAAAGCACGGAGATGACATAAGCCTATTTTAGGAATAGGGCAGTTTAGATACAACCCCACGCATTGCTAAGCTCGGCTACAGATGGAGGCGAGTAGTCAGTCAGCTTCACGGCCCCGGGCGCTTCACAAAAACGGACAGAGGCCCAGGGACAGACTAGACGGGAGGCTGCGTGGGCCCCAGAGCCGCTCCGAACGCTGTGGAGGGAAGAAAATCTTGCCCCTGCCAATAACATAAATCTGATTCCTGAATCGTTAGATTCGTAGCCTTGTCACAATACCGACTGAGCTATCCAGGCTCCACATAATCAATTAATGCAAAAATGTCTCTTCGGAGCATGCCCAGGAGAGTGGGTGGCGGGCCCTTAACAAAATGAAGGTTAGGGTTGCAGGGAATGGCTCTACGGACCTTTGTTGGGCCTTGACCGCGTTTTCAGTTTATTGATCTATACACAGTCGGTACGACTCTTTGGACGGGGGATCAGCCCGTCAGGACAGAAGAAACACAGAATAAACGCACACACAAACATCCATGCCTTAAGTCGAACTCGAACCCACGATCCCAGCGTTCGAAGGAGCGAAGACAGTTCATGCCTTAGACCGCGCGACCACTGTGATCATTCCGATATAACAATAATAATAATAATAATAATAATAATAATAATAATAATAATGATATCCACTGAAATGATTATCATATTTGGAAAGAACGTCTGAAACACGAATCCGAAAGCAAGTTTCTTACAAACCGAAGGGCAGAAAAAAGCAGGGGGGGGGGTCCGATAAGAGATGGGCTCATTACAATTCAGAACAACGCGGTGCTACTCGTATTATAACATTAGCTAACTGCAACGTGCCAGGGAGCTGTAACACCACGTACAGTACGAAAGCAGTTCTCACTGCTTCTCCAACAGATCTATTTAAAAGCGTGACACTAACTAGTTATTCCATTTAAAAGTAATTAACAACTCTAGAACATCAATAAACGTCAATTTGAATACAGCTGAAAGTTACCAACTACACGAAGCGTTACACTAATTATTCGCAGTTAAAAGACGAACCAGATGAATAACATAAAGTGTTCTCTGATCACAGTTCATGTAACAGGAATAAAAATACAGAATCATAACATAGTTATTTATATACGAATGACGATACGTTAAAATAAATATTTATCTCTCAGTAGGAGATGAGTAGATAACAAATATAATTACTGAAATTCAGTCTCAGTAAAACATGCAGCTATGTAGCAAGACGCAATAGATTAATTTCATAATAACTGTTCCTTCAAAGAAACTGACATCACCAACAGAAAGCTTAAGTTTTATTATCAGCAAAAGGATCATGCCCTCTTTACATCACGACAAATTCCTCTTGCATTAATTAACTCCTGTGCTTTGTTTGGATTAGTTAATGTAAACATAATCAGTTGTTCATGTGTCTTATTACTCAAGAGCCCCATGTCTTTCACTGCTGCCAGCGTACACCGCTATTCCAACCAACACTGCATTCCATACTGCACCTTTCGTAGCTCCTTTGTTCTACCATTAGCGAGCGCACTTCACAGCCCAACGCATCTGAACACAGTACATCTCAGACATGAAGCCTCATTTATGGCCGCAGGGAGTTGCAATTTATTAAATACTGTGGCGCATAGACCCGTTGCTAGGCAAAGACTCGAAACAAACAACGGGTACAGTCGTTGTTATGCAATAGGCGAAAGAACAAACGGCCGTTTCTGACAAACCTGCACGCAACAATACAAGAACGGTGTTTTCGATGTGGTTCGGGCAAAGTGGTTATAAGAAAAAATAATTGCGGCAACCCAGTTCAGTTGAGCTCTGCAAGGGTGGCTAAGAAGAGTGGACTCCATAGTTGAGTTTACAACAACAACAACAACAACAACAACAACAAAAAGAGTTCTACACGGGCCGCTGTGACAAAGAGGACATGATCGCGGGAAGATGCAGAACTTTCAGTGTTAGAAGTCGTTGCCAGGGAGCGGTTGATTAAGACACAGCAGCCGCGCCATAACTCAAGCGGTTAGTCGCTGGCTTCCCACCGTGGCGGCCCGGGTTCGATACCGGGTCTGGTCAAGTGGGATTTTTGGTGGACAAAGTGGCGCTGGAGCGGGTTTCATCCGAGTACTTCGGTTTCCCCTGCCAATCTTCATTCCACCAAATTATCCATCATCATAATCACCCGGGCAGGTACAATAGGCCAATCAGTGGCAGCCGTGCAGAGTGGACCCAGTTGGACTCCACCCCCCACTAAGCGAATAAGACACAGTAGGCTGGAAAAGGCTCAGCGGGTGCTGTGGTGGTTTGTAAAGTGAGGAGATTAGCGACAGCGCTCTAATTCCTTGTGGTTCCGAGTGGCGTGTAAAAGTGGTCAGTAAATCCCATTCACGAATCCAAAACCCGTCTATAATCATTCCTAAATATGTAACATTATTATTATTGATAAATAACTCCATAAACATTTAAAAATATAAATCTGAACCAGGGTGGGGCGTTAAATGGTGCCAGAAAACTCAACATATGGTCACATATCGTGGAATTAAAGATGATGAATTCTAATGCAAACTTTACAAATAAAAAATAACAAATACGTACAGATAACTTACTATGAATATCATACTGAAATGTCTAGAATCGCTACGGACATGCACTATGCCACATAGAGCTCTGATTATTAGTTAAAATATCTCAACAGGGGGCCACGAATCACACTTTAGTTAAGAGACACATATCTATATTTTGTTGCTACAAATCACAACAGATTTCGCAAAACCAAACTGATATCACTGAGCTCACAAATTACAACAGGTGCACGTAACACACTCGGGAATTCTTTATACAGTTTTCTCAGCAGATTCTAATATTATTACTCACAGTCTTTCTTCCAAGATCTAGTCAGGAAGTTGGAAACTATCAAGATTAATATAAATTATAATTTAGAAGTAACATGAACGCCTAAGAGGAAAAAACTGGCATGCTTGGATCAAGATCCCGAACACACAATTCCATCCACTAAAACACAGAACTACTTTGAAAATATTCCAAACAAGGTAAACAGTCGTGCAAATTTATGGTGTACCAAATAAGGTGACTAAACTACGCATGAGGTTTGATATCTCTATAATCACTGCTAACCAATTCGTCGGCATTATTCATGAGATCAAGCTAGCCAGTAAACTTGACTAGTAACGCATACTAAAATAAATGAAAAATGTCATTATCCAGAAACGTAATTTGACTTTGGTGCTGAACTGCAGGCCACTCAGCCACAAAATACACATCACTACCTCATCGTAATGTCTTCACCTACAAAAGCAAGAGATGGTATGCACCATATGTACAATTCAAATACTCAGTTTATATCCTTCAATGTGAATCTGTGTATTTGAATCTCAATTATCCCAAATATATTTCGTATTTTCTACACTTGAAACACATGTAGTGTAAGAATTGTTGAAGAGCAAAGCAGTATATTCATTTCCAGTTACTATTATCGAGGTAACACCAGTGACTACCTAATGGATTCCATCTTCACTGCTTACCCAAAAGGCTTCTTTCGGTGGAGATTTTTGCTGTGATGAACTTTGCTCTTCACTGACGCTGTACTCCTCTTCTTCTTCTTTGCCTCCTCTGACTTCTTCTTTCTGTCCTTTTGCAGCTTCTTTTCTTTCGACTTCTTCCTCCTTCACTTGTTGCTTCGACTTATCGTGTTTCGGCTCGTTTCGTTCTGTAGGCACACTCAGACAATCCGAGACGTCGCGCCCTTCCTTCGTTTCTCCAGAGACTTCTTCAAAGTTTTTGGGCTCCTGTTGTCGGGTTTCTTCGCGTTCGGTTTCCCTACCATCCGGAAAGGAAACATCAGAAATCTCTTCTGTCGTGGCTGTCAGACATGGTTCTCCTTTAATGTCACGCAACATAACATCTTCAAATGACGACGATTTAGCTGGTCTCTTGTAACGTTTCTTCGGCTCAGTGACACTTGTTGCACGGGTAAGTCCGGGATTATTTTCACTGAATGATCTGTCTTCAGTTTCTTCGTCACGTGTCCTTATTTCTATAGCAGAACTATACCTCTTTTGCTTGTAACTCCTCCGCCTATGAAGCTTCAATTCTTTTCTTGAAAAGTCGTTCCCAGCGACAATATTCGACGGCGATCTCTCTCTGTAGATAACAGGATCAGGTTCATCCTCGAACGAATCGCTTCTTTCGGGAGTCCCTGTTGACTCCAGCTCCTTTTCTTCGCCTGAACTTGCATAGGCTGTTTCGGACTCTGTCTCTGTGCTATTATCGTACGAAAGGTCTATAGGCGCCTCTTCCGCGTATTGCCGTAATACATCTTGATCTTCACTTGTAAATACTGCTTCTGGTGTTGCGAAGGACACTGACGGCCTCTTAATAACGGGAGTACCAGGAAAGAATGTTGGCCAGCTTATGTCTGCTTTGGACTTCTTTGGGGTAGATGGAACTTTTGGGGGAGACTGGGATGTCTGACGATCTGCTGGTAACGGGGAGACAGAGGCAGATGTTTCAAGTGAGGTATCGATGGTCAAGGGGGATGACACAGACAATTGAATGGAGGTATCCATAGTTAATGGAGTGAGTGAAGTAAGTGAAGACGTCTGCACGTCGGAGGACCCTTCACAGATACTGGGTTGCGCAAGTTCGTTAGAACCAGAGAAACCACTGTCACGTAAACTTCCTTCCTCGAGAGGTATTCCAGTATCAGATAAAATCGTTTGAGAATCCAAACGACTTTCTGAAACGTCTTGTTTTGAGTCCTTACTCGTGATGCTGATATCCTTCTCGTTTTCGAAATCAGATGAAGACGGGCCAGGACCGATGCGAGGGTCGGAGACTTCGTGCTGGGTTCCGGTTCCATCTTCTTCCAGACCTACATTTTCTTCGTTCAAGGAATGTGCTTCACACACATTTTCCAGATTATTCTGTTTTACAATTTCTGAACCCTGATGAATACTGCTAGTGCTCTCCGTGGCAGAAGTAGCTGACCTGTGACTGTTCGTTGGTTCTATTCCTTTATGGGTATCTGTTTCAAGCTGCTCTCCAATATTTTCCACAGATAAAGATGTTTGAGATTCAGCATAAACATTTAAGCCATAAATTTCCTTCAAAGCATCAGTTACCTCAAGAGAACAAGCTGGTTCCTTGTACACAGTACCCGCAAGTTCAGATTCTATGCCATCATATGAAATTGGAACGTTGTGTTCAGTATTGCCTTCCACGGGTGTGACGGAAGTTTCTTCAGTCTCAGAACTTGGAACATGAAATCTGTGTTCACAGTTCGGGCTTGCAGGGACTGCAGATTCATTCTGAAAACACAAAATTTTACCTTCTGGTTGTGTATCAGGTTCTTCAGCAATTGCAACCGGCGGTTCCCCTGCTGAAACCCCAAAATCCGATTTACCTTCTTGTGTCAGCAAAACTGATGATGGGACGTTTATTTCATGTCCTGGAGGTGGAATCTGGCGTTCAAGTTCTAAACCAGCACTGAAGGGTTTATCTACTGTAAAATCTGACGACAGAGATTGTGATTTAATTTCTGTGCTTGGAATCTGGTCCCTTTCTTCAATCCTACCCGAAAACGTACTTGTAATGCAGTCTAGCACTGGAACACTTGGTTCATCTTCCAAAATAAGAACTTGATGGTCTTGTTTCCCACCTGCACACACTCTCTCGTTGTGCAAACATGAAGATTGAATTTCAGCTTCAGCTTTTGGTCCAAAGATGTCATGCTGTGTTGGCTGTTTCCCACCCAGAATGTCGTCATGAACATCTTCATAATTTCGTTGATATGAAGTGCGTAATTCGTCACCAGTATCTAAAGAAGGAACTTTATCTTCGACGTCTCTTTTCTTCGCACTGATATAATCTTTTTCAGTTACATCATTAACAAATGGTTCTTCACGTAGAGAGTAAGGCAATGAAACTGCATTTTCAATTTGGACACCTGAATCCAAAACTTCGTACTGTGTTCCAATACTAACGGTATGAATTTCGCTTCGTGAATGGGAAGGAAATTCAGCAGCAAACCTCTCATGACACTTCGTGTCGTACTCTGCATGCGGGATCCTTTGAGAAGATACTGCGTTTGTAACATTTTTGTCGACAACTTTTCGCTCACCCTCGTCACACACCAATGATGATGCCGAAATGTCGGATACGTTGCGGTAGTCGCAGGCTTCCTCTGTATGGTCGTCAATGGAAGGAGCAAATCCAGTTCTGCTGTCACTTTTCGGATGCTGATAACAGCAGTCGGTAGAAGGATAGTTATTTTCTGAAGTCTTCTCAATTTGTTTCCCAGCAAATCCATTCCGAATGTTCGACGAACTTTCTAAACAATTTTCAGATGTCTGATTAGCTGTGTGATTCACCTCTCCACAAACCTCGTCAAATGATCTAAATTCACAACTATCACTCGGCTTTTTCCGCCAACGTTCGTATGAAGACGTATAACCGGAAGTTACAGCACAATGTGGGGTCCACAGAGGAAGGTAGCCATCTTGGAAATGTCGGACACAAGCTAGAACTTCCAACACGCCAACACACACAACAAGCACCGAGAGCAATAACCCCATGATGAGATTTCAATACCCCTTACAAACATTTATCGTATGCATAAAGTTCAAATTCGCCAAAATTAACATATCTTTACACAAGCAATTCGCCTCTAAACCTACTCGCACGGTTCCCAGCACTCGTTTGGTGCCACGGGACAGACTTAGAGCTTCAGCCAGTACCTTGAAGATATTCTTGGGACCTGTATGTAACCAACATCAAGGGACTTTTCCTAGGCCAGGGATTATAATTGTAATAGACCTCAATAACTAAACGGACCAAATAACAGGCGAAATAGAAAGTGTTTAACGAAATGTGTGACCTAATTCTGTCAGCATTTCATCAACGCAGAGCGTTGCGTTCAGTATATACAAAACATACATTTTGTTTCCGACATACGAATGTAGTTGGCAAAGCTTGCTTCACTCGTCAATTGGTCACGTGACGGCAAACACCTCCGCTTATCCGTACCGAGCCAAGTAGGTGATGGTTATCAAACAGCGCTCCACAAGTCGCAACAGATTCAAATCAACTGAATCAAAGGAGATTGGAAATGGTAACAGTTTATCTGTACAACGAAACCCATTTTCAAACTTATACTCTTCAGTGATACTTCCGCATCGGGATTGGGTGGCCAGTACTAACTTCATGGAGCTGAGCCCTTCTTGACAAGCCAGAAACTGTGCAGCTACTCAACTTCCCAGCATTTTATAGAACCCGAAGGTTCATTACCGTGTTCACAAGAGCCTTAAACTGGTCATTAACATGAGCCACATCAATCCAATCCATACGATCCCATCCCATCCTATCTCAAAGATACATTCTAATACTGTCCATCCAACTACGCCTTGATCTTCCCAGTGGTCTCTTTCCTTCTACCTTTCCACCAATATCATATATGAATTCCTCTTCTCCCCCATTCGCGCTATATGTCCTGTCCATCTCATTATCCTTGACTTCATCTTCTAATTATACTTGGAGAAGAGTACAAGTTATGAAGCTCCTCATTACGCAGTTTTCTCCAACCTCCTGTCACTTCAGCCCACTTTGGTCCAAATATTCTCAGCACCCTCTTCACAAACACCCTCAGTCTATGTTCCTCCCTTAATACCACAGACCACATTTCGCACATATAAGGAAACCACAGGCAAAATTACAGTTTTGTATATTCTAATTTTTATGTTTATAGACAGCAGAGCAGAAGACAATAGCTTCTGGATTGAATGGTAGCAAGCATTACCCGAATTCAATTTCCTTCCTCTTGAATCAAGTTCTGATTTTTTATTGTCGTTTCCAGTTATGTGAACTGTGCCGCATTTTCAAAACTTCTGTTACCTATCTTTATGTCATGATTTTGCCCTGCATTTTGGTGACGAGACAGCAACATATACTTAGTTTTCTCTGTGTTTACTTCTAGACCAACCTCCTTACTTGCATCAATTAAAGTTTGTCTGTTCTTCTCTATGGTGTCTACATTATCACCCAGTAGATTCACATCATCGGCACTGACCAACAGCTGATGTGTCCCAATTAATTTCAGTCCCACCGGGCTTTCCACGATTGTGTGGGCAATAAAGAATGCTACTAAACAAAATCAGCAAGAAAATTATATTTTTCCCGCTAAATTACGTCCTTAGAAATCCCACACCCGTCATCCGAAAGATCTTAGTGAAATTATTACAACGCACTAACAAAACAGCATTGTATCTGCCAAGTTACCCAAATAACTTTACGTTATTACTTAGTTACTGAGGAGAAGTCGCCAAAGACGTGAATCGCGAGTTTAGCGTAGTCTTGCAAATGAAGATTGCACCATATTCCAAAACAAACCACAACCTTAAGAGCACTACTGGGACATCTATTTATAATTGTAATTTTAAATGAAGACGACATGAAGTAAACACAGTCTTCACCCGCAGCGTCTGTGGACACATATCTAATATACAAACTCCTGGACCATAATCAGTCATAATCATAATCAGAAATATTAATGCACTGAGTCCTATTAACATCGAATCTACGTGGGAAATTGTAGGCTTATATAATGCAATTAAGATGAAATAATAAAAATACCCTTGTAACAGGCCGTAGAGGCTCATACGTTTGTGAGACTTGGAGCCTCCCACATTTTCTAGACAATCGGCTACCACATTGCGGTGAGGTTGCCAGCCTTACGCGCCGGCCGCCTTTAAAATAAAGGCAGAAAACGTAAATTTGTTCCTATGCATAATTATTTAAGCACCATACCATAAACACGTTTGGGAGAGTGGACTTGGAGCTCCAACATTCTTCACCTTGGCACAAAATGGACGTGAGTGGCCAGCTTCATGCTCCGGCTGCATTACCTCAGGGGAAAGAGCCGCCGATACAAATTATATAGAAGGTTTGAAAGGCCTCAGAGCCGGTCTCAACTCTATATAGAAGAGAAAAATCTGTCGCTCTTGCTGGGAATTGAACCCCGAACGTCTAGCCTGTAGTCCGTCTCTATACAGACTGAGCTATACTGTCTCCTGAGTAATAAAAGTAATAAAGAAATGCAAGAGCAACCGCTACGATTTATAAGGTGCACTGTACAAAGGATAAACGGAGGACTTGTGCTGACGTCACGCCTGTCAGTCCATACGTTTGCCCATCTGAGATCTACCTTTATAGCCCGCACATTTTGGAATATCTTTTAAATTCCCTAAGACAGGCTTCACTAAACGTTGTTGGACAAAAGCAATATTCACCCGTACTAGCCCCTAATAAAGTCTACTTAACTTGCCCCTTAAATTGGCTTTATCATGCAGACTGCAAGGCACTGATCGATGCCACACATAAGCTTAATCAACTTCAGAAAACGTCATCAGAAATTGTGAGTACTATATACGGGGAACGCCCATGCCGGTGATCATTTCTTAAATTAGACTGAAGCATTATCTATGGATACAAAGGTTCTGACTATGCTACAAGCCGGAAGGTCGCGGGTTCAAGTCTCGATGAGGTCAATGGATTCTTTTTCAATTGACCTAATCCTTCCAGCCGCAGTACGGTCCTGGGGTCGACTCAGCCTCTAACAGAAATGAGTAAAGTAAGTAATGGTATCCCTGTAACAGGCAGTGAAGGCCCATAGAGCTATGGGATGTTGAGGCTCCCATATTTTCTAGACAACTGGCTCACAGATGGCGGTAAGGTTGTCAGCCTTACGCGCCGGCCACCCTTTACCCCCAGGAAGACTCCTGGTACTCATATCTGTTAGAGGCTGAGTCGAACCCAGGGCCATAGTGCGGCTAGAAGGATTAGGTCAATTGGAAAAAAAAATCCACCTCATCGGGACTTGAACCCGCGACCTTCCGGCTTGTAGCATAGTGCCTCAACTAACTACGCTACCGCGTGCCCCTAACAGAAATGAGTACCAGGAATATTCTTGGAATAATCTTGGGGGTAAAGGGAGGGCGGCGTGTAGGGCTGACAACCTTACCGCCATCTATGAGTCGATTGTCTAGAAAATGTGGGAACATCAACATCTCACAACCCTATGGGCCTCCACGGCCTGTTACAGGGAGAGCTTTACTTGCTTTTTACTTTACTTACAAAGGTTCTGTTCGGATCACGATACGCTAAAATCAACCCCGAAGCACCAGCATCCAAGGAATGAATATGTAGTTTAGTTTCCGTGAGAGAAAAATGAAGACTGTCTTGTGTTCGTCTGTAAAATCATATGGCTCTCCTGAATGTAATCTATTTACGTGCGTGGAGATTGGTGCCAGGCGCAATCTTCATCTTGGAAGAGTTTTACCATACTTTACACTCACCTCTCTGCAAGTATCAGACCACAGTGCGATGCAACTTACACGTAAGCATGTACTTTAAATCGGTAGAGATACGTCGCGTTCATTATCACTTCAGCCGTCTTCAAGAGTATTACATTCTTAATCTGCCTATATTGTGATGTACAGAGCCACTGATAGGCAACGACTCGGTAAACATATTCCCGCGTGAGCAACAACAGGACGTCCACTTCTTAGCAAAGGATCAGTACAGAAGCCTTCTTAGTAACACAGAGGCTGTTCTCTGCGTTGTCCGTGCCGAGGGCTTATAAAGGGACAAAGAAAGTCATTTGAGTTATACCATGTGGAGGCCGGGTCGAATACCTCCACCGGGACTCTGCGAGCCGTAGGAGGCGTCGAAAAGGGAAGTCTCAAATCTGAGACAGTAAAATATGGTCTCGAGTACCAAGGGACATAGACCCGAGAAAGATTGCGCTGCCAAGGACCAGCAGACCAGTACAAAATACAGACCCATCCTCTCGTCAGAAAGGGCGCCCCACAAAAACAAGACGGAAACTGTCAAACAGTAATATATATATAATGGTCATGAGCCCCAGTAACTCTGTCGTTTGAGTTAGCTGCTGTCAAGAATTGGGTCGAGATCTAAAGACGACAGGAGAAGGTGACTGAGAAGAAATGGAAAGAAATAAATTAAGCTGTGCAAAGAAGATTTCATGTGTGATTTGAAGTTACAGTGAGACTGTTACAAATCCGTTGCCAGAATACGGCTTGTGAAGACTGAGTACCCTAGTGCGTGTGTACCGGTGATATGTAAAGTACGTACATCAGCAACAGTGCCGTACTGTCTGTAGTCCCGAGCGGTGAATGCGAGTAAGCCACAAACAAAAACCCCTAAATCGGCCTTGTCCTCTGTGTCTGGTCTGGTTACTTGGAGACCGTATAAAGTGTAATAACGTTTAAAGCTACGTATGTCCTTCGTTGTTTCGTTGTTAGCTGTATATTTTATATAGCCTACCCTTTAATGGTACACCATAAAGCGGTAATTTGATGCTAACATTTTCATGAGCCCCCACTGGCTGTAAATAATGCTAAAAGACACGTGATATTACATCCCTTCGTTTTTTAGAACTTGAACTTAAACGTCGACTAAAAATAAAAGTTAGTTTCTTGAATTGCACTAACTTTTGTGTGTCAGATAAGAGGTCAATGCGCCCTTCTACTGGTTGCATTCTTTATGATGGTTATTAGAGAGACATTTTTTTTCCTTGGCACTACAGCCCCAGTGGGTCTAGGCCTACCTCCATGAACTTCTCCGTTTCACTTCGTTTTTCTAGATCTACACATTCGGTAGGACTCCTTGGGCG